GACAACATTGTTTACTTCCAGTTACAGAAATTGAGTCATTCTTATCTTTTAACTGACCTCTGTCACTCTTGGCCCCCAAATTAATGTTCAAACTGCATAAAGGAGCCAGGCAATAAGCAGAAGTAACTGGACTCCTGTGAGTTTAATGCTAGCCTGGACTACATAGTGTGACCCAGGACTGCCAGAGAATCACAAACCATATCAGGAAAAACAATAACAAAAAGAACGACAAACAAAAAACAAAACAAAACAAAACAAAAATGTATCTTGAAGGTATCTTGAAGATGGCAATTCTCATCAGCATCACCAGACTTCTAGTAAACAAACAATTTTATTAGAAAGCTGTTAGTTTTCATGTAAAGCTGTAGGTGGGTCTTCTTTCTATATGTTGCTTTCATTGGTTAACTAATAAAGAAACTGCCTGGCCTGTTAGGTCAGAACATAGGTAGGCAGTGTAGACAGAACAGAATGCTGGGAAGAAGGGAAGTGAGGCAGATGCCATGCCTCTCTCTCCAGGGCAGATGCAATGAAGCTCTGGCCCAAGATGGACACAGGCTAGAATCCTTGCCGGTAAGCCACTAGCTCATGGTGCTACACAGATTATTAGAAATGGGTTAAGCAAGATATGAGAGTTAGCCAAGAAGAGGCTAGAACTAACGGGCCAGGCAGTGTTTAAAAGAATACAATTTGTGTGTTGTTATTTCCGGGGCTAAGCTAGCCATGCAGGAGCTGGGCGGGATGAAAAGCAGGCCTTCCCGCAGCTCCTTCTACATAAAGCATTTATCAATGCATCATGAATGGGAGTGTTTTCTATAAGGGCGATGCCACAGTTTGAGAGGGAAAGCAAGTAAGTTGTATGTAACATTGTTTTCCTAACACTGCCAAGTTTCTGAGTCTATTGTATTTCTTCTTATAAATAATTAGAGGGAAACTCTAGCATCTTAACCTCATTAACCACACAGCTCTTGGAACCAGTGCTTTGGTCAGTTAATGAAGCAAGCTGTTAAGGCCATTTCCAGCTGATCCACATAGTAAATGTAATACTACTGTCAACAGAAATAAAACCAGTCTGACTTTATATTCCGTTTATATTCTAAAATTTTTAGACTAAATATAGTCTTGATAGTCTCAAAATGTATTACTCTAAGATACTTAAGAACCGTCTGTAGAGAGGATCTCTAAGTTCCACCATATACATGTGAGTTCCTGCAATTCTTGTGGGATATATGCTGTCTTCTCTCAAGGTAGCTAGTTAACTCCTATGATGCTGCTGGAATGTGACTTGAGTTTTAGGTCTATATAGGTAAGAAAATGTGATTTAGAAGTAGACATGGAAGGAACAGACACTCCAAAAGGAAGGAGTTTTTATATTGAAAGATGAATTTTAAGAATTAGTTTTAAGAATTCAGTTCCTTATATGAATTCCTTATAAGTATTGCTCAAGTGGTTTTCCCCTAATTTAACTTTTTTATTGATTCTTTGTGGATTTCACATCATGCATCTCAATCCTCCTCATCTCCCTGTCCCTTCACATCTTCCTTCTACCCTTGCAACCTCCCCCCACCAAGACAAAACAAAAGAAAAAAGAAAATCTCATTGTGGAAGCTGCAGTGTGACACAGTGAGTCACATAGTCTACCCTTTAGTCTATATATCTTTACTTGCAAGTGTTCATTGCAGTGAATCATTGACCGCCCGCGTGTGTTTCTTTCTACATCTAAATGAGTCATTGTTATCTTACCAGTCTTCTAACATTAACAGAAGAAATGTAACCGATATCTAAATAATTTTCTTTGAAATTTTCCAAACTTTACCAAAAGATTTTAGGTTTGAGGTGTCCTTCGGTTACGCATACCCATAACTACAGTACATCTTAAAAAGCACTTACACTGTCATGAAGTTCACCAATATTTTATCTGTGATTGGAACTGAGAGTTGGAAGCCTTGATTCGACTTCTTTTCATCTTTGAAGTCTTTTCTTGCCACAGCGGAAGCTTTGCCAAACTCTAGCAATTTATAACCATTGTCACTGTTGTATCAACAGAGTAGAGCAGAATCTTGACCCTGGATAACTAAGGTAGCTGTATGCTACTGTATGCCATGGATTGCTAACATTCCCTCTTTCTTCTTGTAAGCATACATTCTCTCGTGGTGTGACATGGAAACAATGCTAGGTTACAAATCCTTTCTTGAAATTTTCTATCCTTGGACAATGCCTTAGGGACAAAAATTATGTCTCTACACTAGAACCTTATAAACAAATGCCCTCTGAGTTTCTCTTTCTTTTTTTTTTTTGTGTTTTCTGTTTGTTTTTGATTTTTCAAGACAGGGTTTCTCTGTGTCATCCTGGTTACCCTGGAACTCGCTCTGTAGACAGGGTGGTCTCAATCTTTGAGATCTGCCTGCCTCTGCTTTCCAAGTGTGGGATTAAAGGAGTGCACCACCACAACCCACTTGGCTTCACCCTCATTTCTAAAACAGTGATGTGAATCAGAGAAATATCGACAGAAAATCTAAGAAGTCAGTGAAGCCAACCAGAGAGGAATGATCTAAGAACAATCCTACTGTGTAAGGAGCAAAACCAAGAAGCACTTTCCTGGGAGCCTAAATTCTGGGTGCCAGGTAGAGGTTGGAAGTACTGCTGTGTAACATGAGGGACAGACTTGTTGGGGTTTTTTGTCCTGCCCTTTACCCCACAACTGTTTCTCCCCAAAGAAAGTCACACATAGGTCTCCATCAATTATAAGCTGATTGGCCCATTAGCTTTAGCCTCTCACTGGCTAACTCTCACATCTTGATTAACCCATTTTTCTAATCTATGTTAGCCATGGGGCTCAGTACCTTTTTCAGTGGGGCAGATCACATCCTGCTGCTTCAGTGATCTGGGCAGGAGTGGAAGGAATCAACTTCTTCCTTCCCAAAATTCTCCTGTTCTCATTGCATCATTTCTACTTCCTGTCTGGTTTTCCCACTTTTACTGCCTGCCTGGCCAATCCGCGTTTATTTGAAACATGATTGACAGAATACAGACAGTTCTCCTGCACCATTGCTTTCTGAGAGATTAGAACAGAGGCCTTTGAACTGTGAAACCCAGCCTCAGCTCCTACCATATATGGTTCAAAGCAAAGCAGGAGAAAAAGTATTACCATTGGTCCCCATCTCCTGGAACTAGCCTCTAGTTTCCTATCAGTGCTAAGAGAACATGTACTTCTGATACTGAGTATATCTTTTCAGGACTTGAAAAGAATTCACTCTGATCAAATAGCTCCTAAGTATGCAAAGAACAGGTGATGTGACTGTGTACTACATAGCCAATAATTGATCCAACATTAGAAGCCATTCCTTCCTCTACTTCAGATTAGAATTCTCTGGCCACACTGGGTCACCTCCCTTACTAAGCAAAGTGAACATCAAACTAAATGGGTTATATGTATACGACAACACATTAGAAGAATTAAACCAGATTAGGTATGTAATAGGATGGTTGACAAGAACTTAAGGGGACATGGCCATCAGCTTATAAAAAGTGAAGGAAATCAAATGTGGGTAATTGGTAAATTTATTGATAAGTGAGAATGTGATGGAAATTCAAATACATAGAACAGCCAGACCAAGTTGATGAATGATTCTGTTAGGGAACAGTGGTCATATTAATTTTTTTTTTTTTAGGAAATCATATGGCATCCTGAAGAGGTGACAAATACTTTTGGATCATTGCAATGATTTTTTTATTCCTGATGAGCAGGGGATCATGAGATTTGAAGTGGGAAATGAGGCTGGATGTACTGATGTGTCTTTAGTGACATATCCATAGCTGTCTACTATGCTGTACATAATTAGTAATAGGAATGCTGTAAAAGGTTTTTATTCCCCCCCCCCATTTCTATTTTCCATCCTCAGTAATTCAAAACAGCATGTGGGACACATGGGATGAGAAAAACTTCTAAATTACACACAGGTTTGAATATTGGCTCCTTGCAGGATAAACTGTGTTAAAAATACAAATTCCAGGATGTCAAATCCCTAAGGGAATCATGTCTCTCTTACTTCTCATTTTTTCCCTTTTCAGATTACATAAATACCAATGGCATTTGTTGCAGAGATTCTTTGGAATTTTTCTTTGTTCCACTCTGTACAATGTCATTATTGAACTGTTGTAGCCTGGACTCCCATTAGCATGTAAAGAAGTTATCAATTTTTTTTATTCCAATTAGACTATTCTTTCCAAACTATTCTTGCTCCAGGAAAAAATCTGGGGTCTAACTAGGCTTTGGTTGTATATCTAAAGAGAATAGACATGTGATCATTGAACTCTCAATGGGGATGAAACTTAGATGGTATACTTTGACTCTCCCAGTTAGATGAGGATGAGGAAACGCAGCAAGGACATTTGGTAACTTTTTCAAGAGGTGCACAGGTCATTAGCAAAACAACTAGGTCAGAAACTTCTCTTCAGATAACCTAGGGCTCATTCTCTCTGCACCATTTCAGTGTCAAAAGACATTATTACTTGAAGCTTGCTGTAACTGTTCTTGCTCATAGTCACGCGTAGTCACAAACACCTTATAGCATGTTTTACATCCAAAACAAAACAGGACATTTCATGCAGAAGAAAACTCATGCCTCACTCTGCTTAGCTTTAAGATATTTGCCCTCAAATTCTTTATCCAGTATCATTTTAAAAGTCTTTTACTTGTCTATGTAAATTTAAAAAAAAAACAAACATTTTAGCTTCTTCTTCTGTCTCCTTCCTTCCAAGTGAACCCCTAAAAATTTTATTCACAATGCAATTAGGTTATCTTATGCAAAATTTCAGCTGAATATACCACAACAGATAGGAAACTTAAAGATGTAAAGCCACAAACTGATGCTTCTAAAATGGGAATTCTTGTGTGTGTATATTGGTTCTGGGAGGGGAGTGGGGGTCCAACTCTGCTGAAGCTCACCAGGTCCTGAAGAGAATTTTGGTTGTCTTGCTCTGTCACTCTCTGCCTTATTCCTACAAACATTCAATACTTCAGGTACTGGTGTGTTATTCTTGCACTGGAGTCATGCTAATCTCTCTTGTATCATTCATATTGCAGTATATGTGCTTCGAAAATGAGGTCACAGATTGCTTTTTCACAGGAGGATTGTGTTCAAGTGGCTTGGCTAAGGGCATATTCACTGTGATCTATCAAGGGCAAGGCTTCATGACTCTTTGTTTCACCAAGTACCTTCCAGGCCTTGGGATGAATGAATATCCATGTTATATTCATTACACATTTTTTAAAAATATTATCTGCATACCTTTAGCCTATCTCCATTTAAGAATATTGTATTTACCTTATCCTCTGTACACTTTAGCATGTTTTCATTCTCTTTTCTCTGACACGTTTTACCATATATTTTGAAAAAGTAGAGGACTTCATCAACTTTATGACATAGGAAGGATGGTGCTAAAGAAATGTCACTTTAGTAACTATGTGTAGCTTTAGAGTTGAGGCAATAGTTGGCCATTTTCCAACTAGATCCACATCTAATACAATAATCTACATCCCAGTATATGAACAGCTTCTGAGGACACTTGAGGACAAATGGAAAGTATCCAGATTTAGCTTGGCAAATGGAGAGACAGCATGATATAATGGAGAAGCGAGGAGCATAGAAATGATTTAGCCTGCGGAATTACCCAGTGCTAACTCTGTGTTACACAAGTTATTTAAGATCTCTACTCTTCAATTTCATTGCTTAAAATGGGAACCGGGGAACAGGCTTTGGGCAGTGCTGTTGAGGACTCAATGGGGCTTTGTAAAGTCCCCATCTGGGTATGCCTAACAAAGCCTATGCTTCATAATAAGTCCACTGCTGAGCCAATTTTATGCATTGTCATATTAAATTCACATATTCAGTCTGTAATATAGGTGTTGACTTTTCATTCTGAATGATGAGAAAGTGCACCTTTTCCCACAGCAAGCAATTAGCAAGTAAAAGACCCTACTGAAACCAAGTTATTTCACACCCTCTATGCCTTTGACAAACTGGGATCAGATGACTGTATACTTCTTAATTCTTTGTTTTAGTACATCATCTTACTGTAGTGTGTATTCACAGTGTGAGAAAAGAGAGTTCTTCAAAAGTATTTTCTTTAATATAAAAATCAGAATAAAAATGAATTTTTAAAAGACAACTTTGTTGTATGAGTGATTTGTCTGTGTATATGTGTGCTTGTCTGGTTCCAGGGGAAGATGGAAGTCGGTGTTGGATCCCTGGAACTAGAATCACAGTTGTGAGCTACCATACCAATGTCAAGGAGGAAATCCTTCCTCTGCAGAGCAGTAAATGCTTCTAACTGCTAGGCCATCTCTCTAGCCCCAATTTTGTTATATTTAATTGACGAGATTTTATTCATCAATTAAAGAGATCAAAGATTGGCAGCTCCAAATAAAAAAATAAAACTTCAACAAAAATAAGTTGTATTTCTTCTAACCCATTGCTTTTTAATAATATTTGAGGTTGATCCTGTAAGAAAAACAGCCGTAAACTTTCAAACCAGAATGTTGAAGGATTTGGTTCTGCATCCCCAAATTAGAATGTTCTGCAATCCCAAAGTCTATTAGAAATCTAAGTGGCTCAGAAAAGTCAGATTTCCCGTTCTCGCAAAGCATCGTGTTCCTGGTTGTGTTTTAGCCCCTTCTATTAATACATCCTAACTTGCCTTTTTTTTTTTTTTTATATGTCTCTGACAGCAAAGACATTCAAATGTGATGTTAGAAGAAACCAAGGGAAGCAGCATGGTGCTCTGGAGGTTCATCTAGGTTGAGCCCTGGCTTTGTCACTTGCACTTGAATGCTCTTGGCAACGACTTAACTGAAGATTTCCATAAGACAGAAGCCCAGTTCAGGAAAGAGAGAAAGCAGCACACTGAACCATGGACTTTTTTTCTTTTTTAAACTTTATAATTCTTCAAATAGTGACCCCTAATATCTTCATTTTCCAGTTAACTGCATTAGCAGCTAAGAAAACTAACAAAGAATATACAGCTTCTAAATAAGCAACATTGTCTAAATCCAAATCTCCATTTTATTTCATTAAAATTCAATATCAATCTTCATAGCGCTATTTGTGACGATTCCTTAGTTTCAAGAGGTACTCATTATTATAGACAAGCTTGGGGTTATCTTATTTTTTTAGTTCTCTTCTCTTTGTATTTCTCAGTAATTTCCCCCTCAAACTACTTAGTTTTCTTTCCATCGATTTTCCATGACATCTAAACTGAGGAAATACAGTGTTGTGATAGAAGCATACTGCCGTGGGCTCTGTTTCTAGGGTCTAACTGTCCCTCTTCAAAGTCGTAGCCCTTTCCTCCACCATCTTTCAACAAAATGCTTTAATAACAGACTCACATTTTACAGCTCCTCCGAGGTTCCCCCACCCCCACCCCGCCCCCTGCTCTTCTGGTTCTCAGAGACAGGCACATGTTTACTTTCACAGTCAGTTTAATGTCTGATGTTACAGAAGGTGATGACACACTTAAAATGGCTATTCTGTGATCGAAAGTTTGGACCATCACTGCCGGAAGGCCACTCACAACAGGACTTTCTCACCCACTCCGTGCTGTGACAAGCCTTAATGGAATCTGGCCTGCGGAGTGTCTGGGTTCTGTGTGAGGTTGGTGTCAAAGCAAGTCCAAGCAAGTTCTCCAAAGTGCAGCCCTTACAACATCGCTAAACTCAAAAACATTCCTTCAAGGCACCACCCACCTTTCCCAGTGGGAATCCAGGGAAATGATCCTCTTGGAATTAGCATGTAAGCAGGAGAGGGTGTTAGGTTTGTGCTGTCAGAAGATTCATGGGGGAAGGGCAAAGCCAGGATGGGAAAATGAATGCCATTACCACCAAAATATTCTTCCTAAGGATGAGGGAGTACACCCTGCAGCTGTTGAACACGGCTGCACTACTCAACATACTTTGCATATTTACACACACCAAGTATTTCCAAACAGGCTTGTGTTTGTTTAAAATCCCCCACTGAGATGTCTGGTAAATCTGTCATTGTAGAAAGCTATTTGTTTAGAGAAGTTTACACAGCTGTGTTCAAAATCACACATGCACACGCACGCACACATACACAGGCACACTCACACACTTGTATACACTTCTATGTGTGTGTGTGCATGTAGGAGCATGTAAGATAGAGGGTCACTGTCATCAGCCACATTGTAAAGAGATCTGATTTACTCTACTGATCACCTCATACTTAGAAATGGAATGACATAGAAGACCAAAGAAATGGAGAAAATAATTAGTTGAAACTAATTATTTTTTCCGATTAAAATTCTGTACAAAACAAAATATATATTAACATTATTGCATAATTCTAGGTTTTCCTAAACTGTCAAAATTGAAGTATCTTAATTGCTATTATCTTTATCTTTGATGGATAAGTTCTTTTATCCAACTTTACTAATTGACAAAGTAAAAATTATATATATTCAATGCATACAGGATAGTTGGATGCACACATCAAATGGTGATTACTACGGTCAAATTCATTACCACATCCATCATTAAAAGTGTTTTGGTTTTTGTAAGAAAACCCAGCACTACATGGACTTCTCATGTAACTGATTTCTTTTGGAAATGTAAAACACCACAAAACCACACATAATCACATAACTCATTCGAAAAAGGCTAGGGAACTTTCAACAGAAGAAATCGAGCAGTTTAAAGCTGTATTTTGCTTTTAGTAAGATACACAAGAAAAGGATAAAGTATCATGCTTAAAGGGGAACAGATTTTGTATTTTTTGGCAACATAGTAAATCCTCTGTTGCTATATTTGGCTCTCTGTAAATAGCGGCTCCTACAAGGGCAAGGCAAGAATCAATGCTGGTGTTCTTCATTCAGCCACAGCCAAACTTGGTATGAAAGTAGAGCACTAGTGTTTGACTGTTGTTTCCAACAGACTTGCAGCTCATTTATTGATCAGACAGATTCCAAAGTGTGGATTTCTAGTTTGCTCATTAAAACTATCAAAACATGCTTGCTTTTCTGAAATAGTTTTCCACTGCTTAACTGATAGCAGATGGAATGATTTTATCTAGACAGAAGTGTTAAGACTTCACCATGTCAATGTGGTTATCCGTCACTATTTAGTCAAGTGATATGCTTGGGGAATTGGCACATCACAGGATGGGCCTAAGACCCACCCCTAAGCAAAATAACTAAATCGTTATTGGTTATTCTCAGAGAAAACACTTCAGTAAGAAACTACACTCACTCTAGGACTGTTTTCCACTCCTTTGAGCTCTAGTGTTGACCTCTTGGATTCAGCAACTCCACAATATGTCCCCAAAACTTCATGAAACATTTGAAGAAACAGCAGAAATGTCTCTTGATATCCTATTATCTAAAAGGAAGACAGTATCTCACACAAACACTGAAGCCAAGATTATGCTCTGTTAATTTCCAGTGAAGTAGTAAGTTCTCCTTGGTTGCAAACTGATTTAAAAAAAACCCACTGAAGACAATAATAATTGTGGTAGAATAAGATGTGTTTACATTCTTTCTCCCAAATTTGAGAACATTTATCTCATGCAGACATAGGGGATATGAAATAACAAACACTCTCCTGAATTCTACCAGTAGAATTAATTTGTAACCACAAGGGGACCTTACCTTGCAAGGAGGAGGTAGAAGAGAATGTGGGCGAGTAGCACCAGGTGAGGGGGACCGGTTTTGAGTAAGGAAGAACGGCCCAGGGCAGAAGGACTGTGGATACAGAAAGCAGATGTACAGATGTTCTCTCAAAGTATGGGAACAGGCTGCAGTCTGTGCTTTGTAGCCCAAGACAAAACCTGTACTAGATTAGAAGCCCAACAGGTGCAGAACTGTAAAACAATCTGTTTGTGTTGTCTTAAGTCATTATTATTTTTAGTTATGTTTTTTGAGCAGCCATAAGTCGCTCTTATACTACCCTAGTCTAACTATGCCAAATGATTTGACCTGCATTGCTGGAGGATATTGATTGCTTTCCAAATGTGCATTTCCATATTAAAAAAAAAACAATTGATAAGAAAAAAAGAGGGTCTATGCAATGAGCATGAATAACTTTCTTCACAATACAAACTCTTAGAAACTTCTTCTCCAGGGCCACTTCTTCCATCTCAGTCAACTGTAGAAGAGTTTTGCTGTTGTTGTCGTTGTTGTTGACTTGTCCTCTGTTATTGCTTACAGAAAGTTCTATGCTGACAAATGTGGAAACATGTTTCCCAAAGGGTCAAACAAATACCTTAGAAGCATCATACTGAAAAACTTCTCAAGACTCCTGATGTTATGTCATTAATTCATTTTACTTGCTCTTCCATTATAAACATGTGTTTCGTAATCCACTCCAAACTGTAACAAATAAATGTCATGGCACTGGAAGGTAACCTCATAGTTTATAAAATCTAAGATGAAATTTTTGAATAGTATCTACATGTTTTGAAAACACAGAGGAAACAGGTTTATTTACCGGAAGTGCAGACTCAATCATTAAAGTCACATTAAATTATTTATTAAGCAAATTAAAGAAAATGTCATCCATTTTTCTTACAAAGTCTTCCATGATTTTATATCAGTGACACAGATAGGAGTCCTGCATTTAAAGAATAACAGCAAAAAATCATATGGTTTTACAATAATAAAGTCAAAAGTCTTAAGAATTATACATTATTCATTAGTTAACAACAACAACAGCATAGCCAAGATTGCTTGGCTTTCCTTTCTGGAAATGTGAAATCAAGGTGGCGTGATTTCTCTCAGAACAAACCTGGAATCTCACTGTTTGCCAATGCTGTAAGATATGAGTTCTATTATCAGTTTTCAGTCTACATATCAAGTGATAAATATAAAGTTTATCATATTGTGTATCTTTTTCTTTACAAAAGTATTTCACCTTACCTAGGTATACATGATAAAAACAAAAGGAATCCATGTTTCCCTTTAAATATATGCATTCTTAAATGATACAAAGAACTCACATGAACATTACCCTATGTTGTACATTTTGAAAAGTACCTATATGGAATAGTGTTCATAAATCAAATAGAATGTCCACAAGTATACATCTCCTACACATTAAACCAAGTGTGTAAAAATCAGTACCTTTGGCTCTAGCCACAGCACAGAACAACAACAAAATAAATCTACTTCTATCAGTATAAAGAGAAAAGTTCACATCTTAGGCCAAAAAAGAAGAAAACCTCATTAAGGAATTTTATATTCAAAAGGAACTAATCTTAGTCTAAAATTTAGTAGTCAGAAACAATTCTAAAAGAAACTTCTTGGTGATGGTGTGCCCCTTTCCAGAAGAGGAGATGCCCCTGTTGTCTTTCACAACATAACAGAATTGGTAGATTACATTTAAGTCTATTAGAATTCCCTGTGGTTTAAAAGGCGGACTTAGAAAATATCACTGGATCAATATAAACTGGTCAAAACTTCAAGAGTATTTCCTTGATTAATCACTTCACATCACAAAAATGTTTCAAGCAAATAAAAGCTCATAGCAAAAATTTAAAAGTTAAGACATCTAACTATGACTAATTTTACAGTTTAAGAATTCCCAGAAAGCACTAAGAGTAAAGCTACTATGCAATATTCTACAAGTTGGATCTGTGACCTAGTTCTCGGACCATGTGACCATGGCGATTAGCACTGGAAAGCTATTTGAAACCAAGGTTCCCTTGCTGACTCCCTTCATCCCCCAAACACCAAAGTCATCCTTCTTTCATGGCTTGTATATGTGTGTTCAACTAGTTGCTGACACAAATAGCCTATTCTTTCTAAAATTATTTTAATCAAAGTTTTTGCCTTGTAATGGTGGATTGAAAGGATGCTTCAAACTGTAGATTTTTAAAGAGATTCGGTTTTATCTTGTCTCTCTAGCCTTAACATTACCTGAAAGATGTCCATTATGCATTCTGAAGGGAGGAGTTTAGAAAAAAAAAAAAAAGACACCAAACTGGCTTAATCTTTGGTGTCTCTTGCACGTTAAAATCACAGAGTGACTTCATATTTGGTTCCGTGAAGCTTCTGCTGTCCTCTCACAGATGGGAAGGTGATCCATCACAGGGTCCCTGACTGCCGTCAATACCTCTTTGTAACTGCAACGACTGAGTCAACTCTTCCCATCCTCAATAACTGACACAGTGTCAACATCTGCTTCCAATAATGTTGGTTCATTTTTTCCCCCTCGAATAGAGTAAATCCGCTGACTGAGATCGTAAAAGGGGTGCTCCCCCCCTTTCCATGAGAGGAATTTTTTTCCACCATATTGTGCAACTTTCCCTCCAAGGAAAGTAAAAACAAGGAGTGGGGGGGAGAATAATTGAAAGGAAACATTCTTAATCAAGTGCTACGGAAACACAATGTATATCTGACAAATACAAGTCGGGCAGCTTGAAGGCAAAAAGGCACTGTCCTCATTTCAGAGACAGCAATGTATGGAGTTGTGAATGACTATGACTCAGACTCATCCCACATACCGCTAAATGCTTAATTAACTTTCCTTCTTAAACACCGTATTAAAAATTCAGAGTTAATTAAGAACTCAGAAATTATTTTTCTCCTGTAAGTAAGAAGAGAAAAAGATTCTCTTCGCCATGACTCCTTAGAGAAAAGCAGCCACTGGTTTACTTGACTGCTGAAGAATGAATATGCAACAGGAAGAAAAAAGAAAGGGATATTTAAGACTTCAACTTAAAAGCCAACTTATTGAACTGATGCTCATTTGTGGAGGCTGTCAGTTACTTGAACTATACTATAAGTCAGGCATATCTGTATGTTTTCAAACTTTTGCAGCCTTCCTCATTAGGTAGCATTATCCCAGTTTTATCATGAGGTAAATAAATGACATTCCAAATCACACAATAAGCCATTGCTAAGTAACAATTTGGTGAAAAGGAAGTTTACATTAACTCGTCCTTCTCCCCTACTCTCCTCTCAGTCGAAACAGGAGCATGTGTCCTTGTCTTGTCCATCACTTACTGCCGCTCCCATCGGCTAATTCAGCAAATGCTATTTCACATAGGCTGCTTTTCATAAGGGACAGAATGCAATTTCTAACAATACAGTCTTTGTCACGTGAAATTACAGTTACAACCTTCAGCCACACAGTGAGCTTAAAACTCCTTCCTTTCCCATTTTCTGTAAGCTTAGAAATGGACAAATACTGTTTGTAAAATAAACAAGGAACTCATATAGGCATCCTATAGAACATTTTTAATCATATAAATTCAGGAAATGTATTCTTCAATATTTTTGCAATTCACTAATTCTTACTCTATACATTTTTGGGCAATGTTACTATTTTGTGGAGGTAACATAATGCAAATCTTAAAAAGAAGTAGATATGAGAAGAGTTGGAAAAATTAAAAAATTATCTTTCTTTGTTCATAAAAATTTTAGACTCTAAACTTTAGAGGCCCTTTACAAAGTCACAAAGAAAGATCATATATCCTGTGTGGATCCATATAGACAACATTATGATGTTTTTTGGATTGGAGAGTCCATTAATGGAGTAATAGATTATATATAGAATAATAAAGTTTTCCAGTGTCATGTTTACAGGTTTTCAGATAGACTGAAAGAAAATTAAGTTGTAAAATAGTCAAAGGTAGAGTGGGTTTAATGAAGTCAGAGGGGCAGCTGGTACCCACCTTTCAACAAAGCAGCCATACTTTGAAGTGAAAAATCCATATTCAGAGTATAATAGCACTTTACATGCGAATGAATTCAGATTATTTATTTGGCTATGTTATAACTCCCTTTACTATTTCTGGTTGTTAGAGTAACGTCAAAACATTGAGTGATATACTGAGACATGTTGTTTCCTCTCCTTTCACTAGATTTTGATGTATATCTTTGGTGACAGTGTGCCGCTCATACCCATGCCTGTTCTTTAATGGAGGGAGAGCACACGTCTTTGCTGCATGTAGAAGATTCAGATTTTCCACTTTCATTAAACCTTGAGACAAATAATGTTTGGCCCACAGTTCAGAGAAGATAAGAGCAAAAATCACTAAACTGTCTGCTTTCTCTTTCCATCCAATTTGATGATAAAGAAAGAAGCAAAGAGTTGGCCCTCTTAACCCCACCTTAACTAGGAAAATCCAATGAAAGAAGCTCATTGAGTTCAAGTGTGGCACCACTCTAAGAGGCTGCAATGTAAGTCAGTATGTTCCAAGACAAGATGAGACAATAGCCAATGAATCTCTCACCTGCGTGTTGCTGAGAGCTTGGGTCTCAAAACACAGGAGGACTCAAGCCAAAATGAATTTGACAGATTCATTCAACTCTGTGGTCCACATGTCTGTGCAGATAAAATCTTTTTTCTTTTTATCAATGTCCAGACAAAAAAGAACAGAATTTAATGAAGCCACTGTCTGGATATTTAAATTATGTATCAGCAAGTGGAAGCTACTATAAGTCTAGACTCCATGGAGGGTGGGGGGATGTGAAGACTGTTTTAAAGAAAACCAAGATGAAGAAATGGTGGAGTCTGTAGATACAAGCAATGACATGGGATTATAATGCAAATACAAGAAGGGGGAGAAACTAATGCATATGATAAAGCCACGGAAAATGTTAGGAAAGGAGTTGTGAGGATTCTGCTGAACCACTTGTGTCGTTAATGTGTAAAGTATTCACACCCACGATGTACACAATTAAAAACAGAAAGTAGCACGTTTCTCAACATTCTGTTTTGTGTGGGTTGAGAGAGATGAGAAAATTATCAAATTCAAATATCTGTACCACACTCAGTGCCTATATAACCATTGGCTGGGAGCAACTGAAAAAAACAAGTGACTGTGTCTTTGATTTGCCAGTCACCGCTACCTTCATAATCGTAATCTTGGCTTAATCTTCTCTCTAGGTTAATAATCCCAACACTTCACTTTTCTTTATGTGTGGCCCATGTGAGTTTCATTTCTCAAACTTTCAATTTTTAACTCAGTTTCTGTGATTAATTAAAGTATAAAATTAAATTCATTGCTGCTCTGATTTTTCTGCAATTTTTCAAAACTAATTGCACTCAAAAGAAAATTAAAATCTTGCAACATGCTTCAATTAAATCATTACATATAGAATACATTACTTGTCAGTTTACAATGGAGAGGAACAGTCAGTGCTTTGTCACGTGCCTCCCTCCTTTCCTGAAGCTACTCATTTGAATTCACTACAGGAAATAAATTCCTTCAAAGTATGACTTCCAAAACTGCCATAAATGAATGGTTAGAAATTAGGAAAGATAGTCACTGCTATCCACAGGTATCATGGCTAAATGCATTGTTTTTCCCGTATTGAACAAAGATGTGCATAAGCTCTTTTCCCAATTATAAAGATTCAATGGACTATAGAGAGATGACTTTTTGTTCATTAAGTTAAACTATCTTGTTAGTCAACCTCCAAGAACTCTTTGGGAGAAATAAAAGTAATAAGATCTGCTATAATCTGTGGCCCTTTAAAAGAAACTGCCTTTTCAAACTGCACTATATAACTGCAAACTAAGGGAGCTATAATGGAATTAAATCTTCACTGAGATTCAGTATAAACTCAATGCTGCACTAGTTTGTCTATAATAGTGCCACTGCTGAGAAAGGCTGAAACCCTTGAGGTACCCTAGGAAGCACAGACACAGAGTATCCCCGACACTTTAAAGAGCTGCACTTCAACACGTTTTGACCAGTGCTTTTCTGAGAGCAAGTTCTTTAAACAGAACTCAACAATTGTTACAATATTTAAAAAAATTACATCCCTCAAAAATATCCCCTCCATGCTAAACCAAAGTTTCTGTATTTCTACAAAAATAGAAGAGAAAACTACAAAACGGTTTTCCTGAAGGAATGAGCATTTCATCTGTTGGCTCATCTTCTGACAAGGTGGCTGGTTCAAACAGAAAAAAAAAATAAAGAGAAAACAAACAAAAACTAACGCAGGTTCTGGAAAAGGCGAGTAAAACGAGACGTTGCACAGCTGACAAAGGCTCAGATGAGGGAAAACAGACAAAATGCTTCTCTTCAATGATTAGGACCCACTCTTTTCTCCAGGAACAGTTCAAATCTAAAGACAATGGCCTTCTACGTTCTCTTCTCCATCCACTTTTTCCTGTGTCCCATTGCTGGATAGGAAATCTCAATGGCATCTTTTCCCAGTGGCCCTTGGATTCAGGTTGCAATATCACTTGCTAATACCATGATTCAGTACCACGCTGATTCTTTGCTCTTGTCCTGATGCTGAAGACCTAAAAATGATGAGAACGGAAAATAATGAAGAACAAGCATACACAGGAAGCATTCATAAATGTTCCTGACCTGCAATAAACTGAGTACAGAATGTGAACCCCTGGCAATCATGAGAAATGACTTAAGGACAACCTGTTCTCTAAAAAGGCCTAGGAGTACACTATGTGAAAAGAACGAGTACTAGAACAATGCTGCTAATGCAACAGAAATTCTTTGCTTCCTTTTATTTTCTTGGATTAGGAGTGCATTATAATTAGAAATTGTACCTTAACTTCAAGAGGAAATGATAATGGAAGAGAAAACATACATAAACAACTTGAAAAACATTTGAACAATCCTTCAGTTAAAAATTCCAGGAACCAGTGCAAGTAGACTTGTGGACTAATATTTTCAGGTGTTTTAAAATGTATTTCATTCAGAGGGACATCATGAAAGTGACATATAGCGAGTGGTTAAGTATGACTAAAGCATGGAGTTTAGTAGCATTGCTAAGCTAGTAGGCCCTAGTGTGGCTAATACAAGCTATAACCTATTTGCTAATTTACTTCTTTCAACATCCTTCTCATCACGAATTCAGAGTGGCTCAGGAAAATCTCAGGATCACTGCAAGCAAATGAGATTACATTAAGCATAAAACAGTTTTGTGAAAATGTCAGAATTTGAACTGACAGGTAAAATTGGAAGTTGATGAAAGAGAACATTTAGAAAAATGTGAATCTGTCTTGGGACTACTACAGTCATTTAATTTCTGATCCAGTCAATTAGCAGGGGATTTCCCTCCAAACTCACCGGACGTCAAGTTTCATTTTGTATGGATTTTTAATTGCTTTTTAAAATATAATTGATAAACACATACGAATATATTGAATGTATGTGTTAAAATATTTTGATGTACATATATGTTGAAACAGTTCCTATAGTCAGTTATCATGTCTATCACCTCTCTCAGCTTCTTGTATTTATATATCTGAGGCAAATAATTTGGAAGAGTAAATATTGACTAAAGCTTCTTAGGTCATTCAGAAGAAAATACCAAAATGTGAAGTGAGGCCTCCAAATGTGAATGTGGGTAGAAAGAAATGACAATTGTTTTATTTGTGCCAGGATCTCTGGCTATTTTCCTGGCCCTTCGTTTAAAAGTGATATCAATTTGGACTGAATATTAGAAACTGAAAAAAAAAACAATGATCCAGGATAGTTTTACATTTTGATTGCTACTATAAACAATATTACTTGTCCCTCAAACTATCAAAGAATTTTTATCATATAAAGATACCATTATAAACACTGTCACTGGATGCAGATATTAAGACATCATTCTTAACATAACGTGACAGAATAAATAAAAGGAACACAAGAAGCACATCAGAATTACGAGGAACAGTCTACACAGAAAAAAAGCACTTGAGTATTGACTGAAGACAACATGGGTTTCAAAAGAATGGTTTGTCATTTTCTAAGATTACTGGCATTTCACTTAATGCACAAATTTTACTCCCGTTACAAAGACGAGGAAGAGGATGATAAAAGAGAAAGAGGGAGGGAGGAAGAAAAAAAAAGATCAGGAATGTATCACAAACCTCATTTGATTTATTCATTTTCAAATAACGTTGTGGGTAGAAAAATTTGCAAGCTGACATAGTCTCTTTGGGGTGACTTGTATAATCTAAGCCACCTTTACTGACAATTTGCTGACTACAGAAATATTTTTTTCATTATTAATACTTCTCATCTTCTACATGACATAGTATTTCCAGAGCTGAAGACTGCATCAATCTATAGAATGTCAACACCGCAAGTCATGAATACTGCTGCAATCATTGAGCGGTCTAACTTTTTTTTTCTTTTAAAATAAAGACAATCCCTAGTTTGATGTGCAAAAATATTTGACTCCTTCAGATCATGCAAGCATTTTATCATAGCCAAGTATGGAATTACTTAAGACGGACTTCAAATTCTCAAGCAGAAGAGCAGGAATCATTTTCTCATTATAAATGCATCTCTTCCATGTTTGATTCCATGTCTCTATGCCACTCCAGAGTACAGTTTTTTTTTTTTTAAATCCATCTGCCAATTCATGTATAAACTCCCAGGTATTAAACAACTATTAGATCCTGGTGAGTTAGTTTCTTCTTAGTGGGAAGACATAAATCAAATCTTGGTTTTAATTTCCAGGTATCATTTTCTGTAAATTTCAAAATAAGCATAATTTTGCAAAGAAGAGTGACACAAGCCCTACTAATATGCTGCACCATAAATGCGGGACCATTTTCCTAGTAAAAACAGTTACAGTGGGGATTCGGGACACTTAAGAACCAGCCACTTAGTCTTCAGCCAACAAAATGGAGAGAAAATTGTTAGTTATGATCCTTGTGTGGTCTACACACAAATCACAATTTTCCGAAAGCTTGTGAGAAGAGGCTCTTCTCTGCTACAAACTTGCTCCTATGTGGACTCCTTTGCTCTTCCAATGCCAATCAAATCTATATGGAATTAGGTCCTGATACATTCTGAGACATTCACTGGCTGTCAAAAGTCACCAGATTTCCCTTTCTTTGTGTTAGCAATGCCATTTTGGCTTTATTCTCCAGTCCATACACTGTTTTAGTAGAAGGGAAAATAAAAAGTATGAGAACAAGGCCAGCTAACATTCTTAGGAGTTGGGTATGCCAAGCTTTGGACTAGGAATTTTACATGAAACGACTCAATCTTCTCAGTCATGCTTTAACAATATGTATTTTACTCAATGAGGATGCAGTGTTGGGGAATATAATTTTAAGGTGTGCTACTTTTGTTTATGTTGCGTTTGTTTAACTCTGTGAAACCATGTTACTGTGCCTGTCTAAAACGCATGATGGTCTAATAAAGAGCTGAACGGTCAATAGTGAGTCAGGAGAGAGGAATAGGTGGTGCGAGCCAGCAGAGAGGATAAATATGAGGAGAAAGCTTGGAGAGAGTTCTGGGAACAAAAAAAAAAAAAGGAGGAAGACTTCAGAGGCCAACTACCCAGCCACCCAGCTACATAGCCAGACATGGAGTAAGAAGGAAAGAAAAGGTATATAGGAATAGAGAAAAAAAAAAAAAAACCCAAGGCCTAAGATAAAAGGGATAATTTAAGTTAAGAAAAATTGGCAAGAAACAAGCCAACCTAAGGCCAGGCATTCATGACTAAAAGTAAACTTCCATGTGTGATTTATTTGGGAGCTGGGTGGTGCCCCTCCCAAAAGTCACAAAACTAAAAGAGTAAAGAGTAAAACGTCACACAACAATGCAGAAACTAGGGGAAGTGATGGCTGCAGCAGGTTTGTAAGGAGGTCTTCTCATGTATCAGGGACTGTATGTAGTCTTAGTGACAGGATCTATGTGCACCTCATGTGAACGGTATTGGTTACAAGCAATGGCAGTAGGACACTAGCCATAGTCTACCTAACCCCCAAGTAAACAGCATCTCACAATATCAGAAAGCAAAAATGCTCAACCGTTCTTACATACCCCTTTGAACTCTTTAAATCCGCATATGCCCCAATTCTTCTGAACTGACATCAAGACTAAGATGAGGCTCTTTTAAACAACTACATTAACTTGACATTTGCCCCTAACACATAAGAATTACATTGTAGTTCGTCATGCTACAGATCATTTTGGTGTAATAGGCTATGTGACATCAACTAATGGATTCTTCTGTGTTTATTTGTAGTGTAATTGTCCAGACCCATCCACTTCCCTGGTGGGAACTTTTCAAAAATAGAAAACTTGTGACTTATGGCTTTTTGCTTGTTTATTACAAATCAGAAGTAAACCTGGAAACAAAAATATTGCATTACTGACATCTGAGTTTGATTGTGAGATGTACTTAGGAAAAGAGCCTGAAAGAAACTAAAAAACCAGAAACACATTTTCTCACTTCAGTTCCAACACCAACACCACCTGATCACCACAGAAAAGAAGAAAATATCCATTCCCAAGCAAACAAATGGAGCAATTAAGAACTCAAGAGAAACACGGTCATAGTAGAGCATCGCAGTTTGCTTTTATTTCAACGTCTGTGAGTCTGGCAGTCTGTCTGTTCAGGATCTTAAAACAAATGCTACAAACTGGGCAGCTGATTGACGGCAGAGGTTCACCAACAGCATTCTAGAGAATCAGATCTAAGACCAAGACACGAGAAGAGTATGTGTCGGATAAAAGCTTCATTTCTGGTTCCTAGAGGTTCCATCTCACTGTATCCTAATGTGGACATGTGTGCATGCATGTACTATGCATGTGTGTGTGTGTGTGTGTTTTCTCAAGTCCTTCAGAAGAAAATGGATCCCATTCCTGAGGACTCAGCATCTGTCACTTACTCTCTCCTCCAAAGGCCCCACCTGATACCAATACTGTAAGAATTACAATTTCAACACAAACTTTGGACAGGACACCAACATCCAAGTCCCAGCGCCAACTGAATCTTACAAGTAGGTTACTGGGACCAACATCCCCACAACTGGGAAAAATAAATACTACTCTAAGTTTCAAGAGGTCACAGTTTCACAGGTTGGTGTGTGGCAAAGACTACGGATATAAGAAATCAGAACAGCAACTATGTGTGTGTGTGTGTGTGTGTGTGTGTGTGTGTGCATGAATGTATATATGTAAGCATTAAATGTCTAAAGTCTTCCCTGCCCCAACTTCTTTTCAACTCCAAGGTATTTTGTGAAAATATGCTGAACCTTCCAAAATCTCCCATGAAGAACACAGAAGTTGGCTCAGAGGGGATCCTATTAAATCTACTGGAACTTCTGCACCCTCCAGTGGAAGAAATGGATGAACGTCTTGTAGGGATCACAAATGCAAAGATGAGCTTGCTGCCAAGTTTAATAAACAATAGAGAATGCATAAAGGAAAGGGGGAGGGGGAAAGGTTTGAAATCGGGCAGAAGAGAAACGATGTGGCAACAACAAAGGGCAGATTGCAAATGACTAAGTAGATGTGTGCATAACTTTCTGGAACTAAGCTAAAG